CTAAAAAAAAAAAAAAGGTACACTGAGATAGGTTTAAAAGATTTTTCATCTTATATACCATAAAAATTTAGACTTTATCCTTTGGCTATGAGGAGGCTATGAGGAAGTGAAATAATAAAAGCTAGCATTTTTTTTTATATAAGGAAGTGAAATAATAAAAACTAGCATTTAGAAAAGTGGCCACAATGCAAACGCTATATTGGCAAGGAATGATTGTAGCCAAAAAGCATGATAAGGAGGAAATCTAATAGTCCAGCTAAATAATGGTAAAGCCCTCAACTAGGGGAAGCAAAAATGGTAATGAAGAAAGGTTAGATTTTGTGTATGTGTGTGAGCTCAATTTCTTTTTTTTAAATTAAACTATCATTGATACATAATCTTATGTTGGTTTCAAATATACAACACAGTGGTTCAACAGTTACCCATATTATTAAATCCTCACTCCATATTATTAAATCCTCACCCCCTCTACTGAGGTCACTTCCAATGTAGTAAGATGTTACAGAATCATTAACTGTGTTCTCCATGCTGTACTACCGTCCCCATGACCAACTTATATTGTGATTGTGAATTATTGTGTCCCTTTATCCCCTTTCTTCTTCCCCCAACCCCTCCCACTTGGTAACCACTAGTCCCTTCTCAGGGTCTGTGAGTCTACTGCTATTTTGTTCAAGAAAGGTTAGATTTTAGAGATATAAAAGTTGACCTGATATGTCACTTAGTGATCAAATCAGTGTGGGAGATCATGCAATAACTGAAAGGACAGTAATTTGGGAATATAGAAAGGATATTTTTTGGTTTATTTTGGGGTGCTGAAGAAAGAAAAACTATGTTGAATCTGAGTTTCTGGGGATACAGGCAGGTGAAAATATCTAACAAGCATTTGGAACTCAGTGAGGACAGAAAATGAGCTAAGTGGCTAAGGAGAGCATGAGAGTAGACAAGATCACTCAGAGAACACAGAGAAGAGACCTGATGCAAACTTTATGGAAGGAATACTTAAGAATACACACAGAAAAAGAAACCAGAAAAATATACAGAAAATGAGTATTCATGGTGAGAATACCACTACAGACTACTCAATAAGTACTGAACAATCACATTAAAAAATAAAAGTTAAAAAAGGATGATTAATGCTTATGACTTTCATCCTGAACTTGTATTACACAAAAATTTTTCTTTCCAAAGAAAATAACTGGTATTTCACTGCTTGAAGAAAATTTTGGGGACAACTCTAAAAACATATTCCCTGAGAAGGAACTAAATTGTACAACAGATCTTTCTGAACTTAAGCTGCCCCAGATTTAGAAAAACTCCATTTTAAAAAAATATAGCTCATACATTTGAAATGTGTAATATGAAGACTACATGAACTTTCTAAATGTGGTAATTTTGAAAACCATCCTCTGGCTATACATATTACTGTTCCTCAATTTCTGAGGGAATGAAATTTTAAGCTGTTATCTTATTTACTTAAAAATTAATAGCAACATTTTGATATATAAGTAAAATATCATAAATGAAAAGGATTAAATACCTACAAAACCCGTTTGCACACACACACACACACACAAAGGAGTCAGTACTCACTCACCTCTTGCCCCAAGACTGTCTCTTAGCCCATTCCTTGTCTTCTGCTGCCAAGTAATCCCAAATCCCTGTTTTCATCTAAAAAATCCTATTAGGTATATCTTTAGCTTTTGCTTTCAAAACTTCCCAGAAACATTCATATTTGAAAGGGGCAACAAAGAAGAAAGGGTTTAAATACAGAGGACTAGCAAAACAGGTTCTGATCCATGTGTGCTCTAACTCTCCTAACTCTCACCTTGTGGGTGTTAGTAAAAACAAAACATTTCCCTGGTGTTTACTGTGCTGTTGCAAATGGGCCCAGCTTGGTAATCTCACATTTTAGGGTTTTTTTCTCAGAACAGGAAAAAAGATCTTTCCTCCTCTATCACCGCAGAGCAAATGACTAATTGAATACTTTAAAAGTCACCTCCCAAAAGTAATTGAGTCTTGTAAGAAAACATTGATTAAACTAGAATGCTCAAGAAATGAGGTAATCTGGTTATATTTTTTCCTATTAAATTAGAATTCCTTTTGTGAAAACTGAAATGTACTGGAATATCTTCTTATTTTAGTAAATATGGCTAATAAAACAAATGAATCTAGTAAATGCATTTTATAGACAATAATTAATGGAGCTATTTCTAGTATCTCAGCCTCACAATGCTGTAACATCAACAATGAGATATTTATTAAAAAGAAGTAACACTGCAGATATAAAGAGCCTCACAAATTGAGGTAAATACCCACTCATATGTCCTTGAAACTGTTTCTGAAATACCTTACCAATTTGTTTTCTATAATTCATGCTCTTTCAAAAAATATTTAAAGAAAAAAATTATAGTTAACATAGGAGTCTTAATTGTTGGGTTCTCATTAAGGTTTTAGTATATTTTTCTGGTTCCCTCCAAATAATTACAGTATTTAAATAAATATAGATTTACATTTTAAAATACATAAATTTTAATCCTCAACCATATTCATGTCCATTCATTATACAAGTTACCCATGAAGACAGTCTAAAACAAGGACTCCTGTTTATCTAGACAAGGCAGTTTTATACTACTGATGAAACAAGAAATAAAAACTTACCATGGGGCAGACATGGAGGTGCCTATAATGTGGTTTTTTTTGCGGGGAAGGAACTTGACTGTTATACAATTAAGGTCATATAGGTAACAGAAGAATACCCAGATGCAGCTAAATTTATCATACATATTTACTTAATCTATATAGAATCAAGTAGATAAAAATCAGATTCACATTAGTGAAAAATTTCTACAAAATGAAAGCAAGACCGCCTCTTAGCAATTTGTATCCTCATACAAGACATGGGCTGTAAAAATAAAGCAGGGTGTGTAGCACAAACTAAAAGATATCTACATTTTTTTTTCACAGTTATTTCCATCTATAGTCGGAAAGAGGTAGATGTTCCTGCAAAAACTGAGAACTGAATTGTGATAACCAGGTGTTAATAAAGGCAGATGCATACATAACTAAAAAAAACTGGTCTCAAGGCCAAGAAGTGTACTCTTAAATCTAAGGATGAAATGGTCCATTATCAAAGACCTAAGTATTCTCTACTCCTTGGAGTCTACTACTGCTATGAACACTAAACATCAAGTTTCCATGATAGTGCAACAAATACAACTGAGTGAATTGGAAATTTAAACCTATTCTGGGACAGCCTAGTAGCATTACAGTGTTCTAGAATATGACAGACAGAGGTTGTGTTACAAAGCTATAACAATGGGGTGGTGAAGTAATTGCTTTAGGAGGTTGTCCTTCTCAGAGGGTCCCATTTGTAAAGATTCTGAAACACATCCCAGACAGAATCCATATCGTTTAACCACTATGACAGCATCTAACTAAAAATATATAGTAAGCCAAAAGCATCAGGCCAAGTATTCTTAAACACATTGCTATATAGAGCCCTTGAAATATGCAAAAGGTCCAAGATTTACAATCAAAAAAAGCACCAGAAACACGGTGGCCTATCCAGCAGAGTTTGTATGAAATATGACTATTAGGATTAATTTTAAAGTAGATTATACTTCTGATAGATATTTTCATTTCCTCTCAGGGAAATGAATCCAATATTTCAGGTAGTAGCTGAAGAAGGGAAGGTATTTATAAGAGGCTGCTGAAGGAGGGTATGCTTGTGCAAAGTGTTTTTTGTTTTTGTTATTTGCAGGGGGGTAAGGGTAAACACAGTTTAAATTATCAGTAAGGTAAAGAACAAAAGTACTCAGAGAATGAGCATGCTCTCTTACTTTTGGCAGGGCTTTTGTAGAAGGCTTTTGTTGTCCCTCTGTCACTGTACATTTTTCTGGTTTTGGTGACAGAGAAGAACATATTTCAAAGTCTGTGTGTCCCAGATCCTGTAAGTACTGGTAAAGTGGAGAATTCTGAAAGAGACATATAAGATAAAGAAAATTTCAAGATCACTAGTATTTCCAAAATTTTAGAGGCCAAATTCAATACCAGATTTCACTGTCAGGACCAGTATGCCCAAATGCTTTAAGGTTTCACCTAAAAAGAATTGAATTATCTGTCAAAATGCCATTTAACATTAAAAAAAATCAACAAATAATTCAACAGAGGGGCCCAAAAAAGGAAAACTTCTAAATAAAACATACAGATTTCTTTTTGAGTGGGTCCATCAAAAAAGAAAAAAGAAAAAATGTAGTAATATAAATAGATTTGTTAAGCAATTTTTTTGCCCAGATTTTGTAGTATTAGAGTACATTGCCTCAAAATAGCCAATCCTGGCTATATATAGCTCCTAAGAGGACCTACAGTAAAAATAGTTATTTCTTTAAAGCCAAGAAGAATTAAGCAATGATTGTACTGTATTAATTATAATCTTATCATACCACTGTATTCATTAATTCATTTAAGTATAAATATGTATTATTTACCATGTGCCTGGTACTATAAACAAACTTGAAACACCAAGGAAGAGCATAAGCTGCGTCTCATGCACAAGCGTATGGCAAATAGAGACTATGCCTAAAAAGAGCTTTAGAACACAGTGGTTAAGAACAAAAACTCTGGAGCCAGACTTAGGTTCAAATCCCAGCGTTGCGTCTTACTAGCTGGGTAACCTATGGTTACTCATGTTCCTTCTGTGCTTCAGCCACTCATCTAAAAATAGGAATAATAACAATACCTAGTTCACAGGGCTGTTATGAGGACTAAAGAACAGTCCCTGGCACATAGTAAGAATTCAATTTCCATTTCAACTTTATATCAACTATGTGGAAAAAACACAGGTTTTGGAACAGCATCCCCCCCGCCCCCAATCAAATCACCCCAATCCCATCAGAGTCACTGTTGGATGAATATCTATGGGACAACTCTTCCTGGATAAATAACAAGCTTTAATTTTAACTTTCATTCTTCTCTAATGTGTAATGTTGGTGATGTGTTTAAAAATAAACCTTGATCCTATTCAACAAAATTTCTGATACTTAAAAAAGACCTTACGTTCTGCATTAGTAATGATTCCCACCAAAACAACAACAAATGCTAAAAGGCATTATTGTTACCATCATCTATCATTTCTGTCGTCATTCCCGTTTTATAGCTGAGGAAACAGATACCCTCAGCTAGGGAAAGCAAGATTGGTCTGACTCCAAAGCCAACACTGTGTTACACTATATTATCTAAAAAACAAACAGTCCCTCCTGTTTTTCTAGAGAGGAAGACACCAAAGAAACTGACCTATAGTTTAGTGCACAGACATCAAGTAAATTAATAATTATAGGATTGTACTGGATGCTGTGATAATGGAGGAGATGCAATTAAATTAGATGAACATTTTTAGGGAATATATCCTTAAGTTTAGACAAATGAGGAAGAGTGGGAATTTTGCTGAACTGTTAGCAATTTACTGGGTATCAATTCGAGAGGACAGGAAGAAATGCCTCCCATTTAAGCTATGTTTTATCTCTCTTTCAAGAAAAATACATATGCAAAAAAACTATAAGGAGGAATATGTTTCTTATCCCTCTACGAGACTTAAAACATATGGTAGCACAAATGGTCAATCTTTATTATCACCCTCAATGTATCTTCAAGTATTGCCTTGAATTACTCAATCTGTATTTTCCTAGCGAATTGTGAACCCCACCCTGCTCTGCCTCCAGAGTGGCAAAAGAACAAGAAGGTTAGTGCATTTGGGCTGACCTTTTGAAAAGTTTACATACTTTAAAAAACAAAACAAAACTTGTTTTTAAGGCAGAACTCTTTCTTCAAGTGAACTCCCATGGGGAAGAACAATAAATAAGATGGATCAAAGTGGAGTTACTCTAATTCAAGGGTCATCAAACTTTTTCTGTAAAAGGCCAGCCAGTAAATATTTTAGACTCTGCAAGCCATATGGTCTCTGTCTCAACTAATCAACTCTACTGCTGTAGTGAGAAAGCAACCATGCAATACATAAACCAACGAGCGTCGTTATGTCCCAATAAAACTTTATTTAAGGAAACACTGAACTTCCTATAATTTTCATGTGTCACAAAATATCATTCTTTTGATATTTTCCTCAATCGTATAAAAACATAAAAACCACTCGTGGCTCACCAGCCATATAAAAATAGGCAGGGAGTGGGGTACAAATCTGGCCCAAGAGCTTCAGTTTGCTGACCCCTGTTCTAATTAAAGACTCTATCTAGACCATGAGAAATACTCTTGACTGCTAACTGTTCCCTGGGAAGAAGCTTGGGGGTGCGGATGGAGTCAAACTTCTTTTTATTCAAACTGTAATGCCCTTTCTTAATGCATACTTAGCTGATGCTGTGTCAGCACTGACCCCCATGTCCCTTCCTTTTCCAGTTTATGTCACAGCTCACAAATAACAAAATGGAATATCTGTAATATAGATTTTTAAAAATAATTAAGCAGAAGAGAAACAATGAATACTTTGTTCTCCATATATGTTCTGTACATCAACTAAGATCAGTTTGGATCACCATAACCTGGAACACTCGCTATTTTGTATTTCACAGGAACAGCAGCATTCATTGTTTACCTTGTATACTACTGATAATGTCCAACAGTGTCATTTGATATAGTAATTCCACCAGTAGCTTTTTCTGCCTTGTCTAACTTTTTTGCTGGTTTCATAAACTTCATGTTAAAGGTGTGATGCAACGATGAATGATGCCTTAGTATTTTTGGTTTCTTCCCCATCTTTAGTCACAGAATTAATCATTTCATTCTAGAAAGCACTGTTTTGCAGTTTTGGAAACTTCTGGCTTGCCAAGGCAATCACTGTGCTTTGTTTCATAACTTTATGTAATTAAGTGTTTGACCAAAAATTCAGAGTAGACACCCTTTGGAGACTAGGCACTGAAGATCCGAAAAAATATAATTCCAGTTATCATGGTATTTCGTATTTGTACTTTTCTCTTTTTTGGCTGTTCATGCAAATCATATCACTTTCTTACCACATATAAACTCAGACTGTATGAACAGTAAAGCTCTATTCATTATGTTTATGATATTACTTTAAATTGCAGCATTATACTGTCTTATTTCTACTGTTAGGTTTCAATCACCTTTCAGTCAAAAGAAAATTTAAAATGTAACCAACAAATTTAACACACAAATGAAAAACAAACATCCTTTAGTTAATTTAATGAACTGAACACTAGCTAAGATGAACTAAACAAGGTAGACCTTGTAGCGCATCAGCAATTTCTAAGACTAAAATGGGATTTTTGATTAAATTATTTTATATTAATTTTTTTAAATTGGGGTAAGTTACTATCACTTTTTCTCTAAAACTTCCAAATAAGCTATGTGCTATTTGACAGATTTAGAAAACTGTATCATGATCAGTGGTTCTCAGAATTTTTTGGCCTCCAGGCCCTTCTGTGAGGGTTCCAAAGAGTTTTAGTGCATGTCTAATGATATTTATCAGACTAAAAATTAAAGTCGAAAAAATTTTTAAATATTTATTAATTTACAATAACACCTTATTACAATAGTAATGTAAATAGCACAATTTTAATGAAAAAGAATGTTTTTCAAAATGAAAAAATTGCATCGAGAAGATGAACTGCTTTACATTTTTACAAATCTCTTTATTGTCTGACTTACTGGGAGATAGCTGGGTTCTCATATTTGCTTCTGCATTCAATCTCTTGAATTATTAATATAAAGAAAATAAGGCCTTACAGAGATATGTAGTTGGAAAGGGAGAAGTATTTTAATAGTCTTTTCTGATAATTGTATTATTAAAGAGTAGCCATAACAAAACTCAACAAGTGATACTTTTGAAAAGGTTAATTTTAATGTGGAATATAAAACCACACTGGTGAGCTTTTTGTACACTGTGCAAGTATGAGAGAATGAGGGTGAAAAAGGCAAATAACACCTTAGTATGAAAACCTGATCCCCCAATATAAAGTAATTTCTTTTTCTTTTTCTTTTACAGCAAAGTGAGGCTCCCTACTGTAATAGCCCTAACTACTCTATTTGGAGGTTTGGGGCTATCAGGCTTATAAACTAAGACAAATAAGTTTCATATAGTGAGTATTACTATAGGTAGACGGCAGCTTTAAAGAGGGACTTTTTTGTGGAGGGTAAGCAGAGTAGGTGGTGACAGGTAATTTTCTCTAAACTTTTTCCTTGGTTCAAGCAAAACAGAACCACAAAAATTACAGTTGTTTTCTTGAAGAGAAATTATTAGCACTGATGTCTAACTATTATTTAGTAGTATTGAAGAATATTACTGTTTCCAAAAGAAATATGAGAAACTTCAGACACAGCATGTGGTAGCTTCTCCTCAAGAAATCATTGTGGTTCACTATTCCTGTAAATTTTAGCTGACAGAAAACACACATCATAGAATTTTGCTAAATGAAAGATAGCCAAGAGTTTTTGGTTGTGCTAAGATTATTCTGATGGCTGAAACATATCTTTGTAAGACAAATAAACAAGAACAAGAAACCCCAACATTTTTGCAGAACAAGTCTTTAAAATGATTTAAGTACTACCTACCTGCATTTTGTGACACCCCCACCCCCCACATACCCATTAAAGATAACAGATCCCACACTAATGGATATATAAAGTTTGAACTACTCATTTAATGCACTGTTTATTTTCTGCATGATTTATTTATGGGAAGTGCCAGTACCATTATTGCTGGCTTGCATTTAAAAAGAAATGGAAGTGATGGGTAAAAGGCTTTCCTTATTGGGTTCTCTTCTGAACTGCTTTAAACCCTTACAGATAGAACAAGTAATCTTTCAGGTTCTAGCCCAGAGAGGGAAGACAGGTCAAACATGACAGAATTAGCCAACTTATTAAATAAAAAATACTAACTGAACATCTTCTGAGTGCCGAGCAATATCTAGGCACAGGGGAGAAAAGACAACAAAGCAGGTGTGGCCCT